TGTCAATTAATTTATGGGTATACACATTATTATTCTGATAAAGATCAAAGAAATTCGCCTCTAAGAAAATAGCAGCACCTCTGCAATTGTAAATGATAAAATCATAAAGCCATAGGATATCTAAGACGTATAAAAATTCGTGATGATCCGTACATGAGTTTTCGATATTTTTGAAAGTTTGAGGCAATAATTTTGAAACGTACTGTAACTTAGTTCCTTATGTGAACATTCATAGTTTGCTTTCTTAGTCTCTCCACAATCAAGAAATGCATTATGTTAGTGTTCCATTTCAGATACATTATTTACAAATAGTGCTTAGTTCTCCTTCTTAAATTAGTTCATAGAATAGTTTGTATTCCTAATAAGAATACCTCCACAGGTGAGCTTGCACAGCAGGGATTTACCGATCATCTCACTTCGGCATAATTATTTAATTGCCTCTTATAAAACAATTCTTTTACTTTATTTCAACATGTTATCTGCTCATTCGAACGGTTAAGAACGCTTGGCTTTCTCATGCGTGAGATCCGAATTCGAATCCTTAGTAAGGTTGGGGATTTTTTTTTCTGTCGGAGGCACACACACACACACACACACACACACAACCTTACCTGCACAGTCCGTGGCGAGAGGACTAGCCATGCGGTTCTAACATTCTCAGACTTAAAGACCCGCCCACTTCCCATGCTTACACCACAAAAGTTGTAAAAAGGGCAGTCGTAGAATTTTCGTTTTATTGTTACATTATTTCATTTATTACATTCTCTACTTCCAGACATCTGGTGTAGTTGAGACTTTCGAAACATCAGGCCAGCTCATTTACTCTTTTCTGTCTCACGCTAATTTATTTATGTAGATTTTAAAACACTTTAAAATATTTACATTTTATTACCTATCTCAGGTCAGTGCATTTACTTTTCATTCGGTTCATTTATTTACTTTCCAATCTCAGATTTTTCACACACACACACACACACACACACACACACACACACACACACACACACACACACACACACACACACACACACACACACACACACACACACACAACAACACACACACACACACACACACACACACACACACACACACACACACACAACACACACACACACACACACACACACACACACACACACACACACACACACACACGCGCGCGCGCGCGCGCACACACACACACACACACACACACACACACACACACAAAATACTGTTTTTAACCATTCTCATATCAATGCATTTATTTACCTTTCTATTCCCGATGTTATGCCAGGAACCAACAGTCTATATACGAATAAGTAATGTCTGTAAAACGGATGTACACGCAACACTCAGGTCCTGGAACAAAGCCAAAGTCTAGAAATGGGCGAGCAACCAGGTCTTTCCACTGGTGTTCACAGCCGGTGAACGCAAAGAACAACAACATCCTGATCTTGAGGCCTCGGAGATGTGGTTTTATAGGAGAATCCTTAGAATTCATTGGACAGATAAAAAGAGCAACCCATAGGTTTTGAATGCGGCAGGTGCTCGAAGACGGCTGATCACAAACATCATAAAGAGACAGTCATTATGTTTTGGTCACTTTATGAGAAGAGGGAAAATGGAATATGTTGTGACCACCGGAAAGATCTGTGGAAAGAGAAACAGAGTGTGTCAACATACAAACTGATACATGCAGTTGCGAATCGCAGATTGTGGCGAGGCATTATCGTTCACGCCACTCGGCAAGGCAATTGATGATGATGATGATGATACACGATCAGTTCATTTAACTCTCTTTCAATTTCAATTCCTGAGCCGCAGTGATGTAGTGGCTAGACGCCCTCCTGCGGAACGAAAGGTCGTGGGTTCGTATCCTGATGGAGCCGGAATTTTGTCAAAAATGACCTTGGCTCCCAGGTGGAGCCAGCTTTGAGTGGGTACCAGAAAACGTCATGGAAAGTAAAGGCGGCCGGCATGATGTTGACCACATCACCACAACAAGTGCCGATTTATGTAAAAGGTATAGATCTAGATTAATGCCCCAAAGGCGTGAAAAAAAATTTTTTTTTTTTTACTTACTTTTCCAGTTAAGTTAATTTAACTCTCTTTGTATACCGAATCAGGCCCTATATTTCTTGTTCACCTGAAGCTGCCCTACTGCTCACCCAGTTGTCTTCTACCGGGATTTTAAAAATCTTATTTAACTTTTACCGTTTATACAAGGTAGGGCAATAGCAAAACTAAGAGACTAAATGTTTCCACAGTGCCACATGCAATAACACGAAAACCAGAGCTTGCGTATTTTGGACGGTCATAGTCCATTAACATGTTGACGATAACGTGGCCTTTATTGTATCTCCTTGGCAGCGTCACCAGCGGTTAATGGAGATCGACCAGGCAGCCTGGTGGGACACAATGGGCAAGCTGACCAAGATTATCCGAAAAGCAGCTCAGGTTCTACTGATTACCAAGAAAATAGACAGAGAACAGATGCATAACTTTTTCATGTCAGGTATGTGAACTTCAGATTTATGGTTCCGCCCCTGCACGAGTACTAAATTAGGCGTCTTCCTCAAGTACAAACTGTCGTGTTCAGCTGTGTATTTAGAATTATGTTTAGAGTATATTTTATGTATGCGTTAGTTTTTATATCATTATTTATTATTAAACAGGGTGTTCCAAAAGTTTTCGTGCACTCGAAAAATATTTTTTGTGTGTAAATGGGACCTGTTCACGTTTCCAGGCACAGGGTTAGAGTAACTTCCCTTACCTTCATACCTCCTTAATTCGCTGGGCCTCTCCTATGTTGCGGGGTGTTCTGAAATGGCTTGGTTTGCCGTTCCCTTGGGGCTTGTAATGTTTGTGGGAGGTTATGCTGTTGTAAGTCTATTTCAGGCGCCAAAGGCGCTTGTGTGCAACTAAGATGTACTGCAGGGGGAAGGCACCGTATGCGCGAAACTGGGATGTTTTTCTATTTCTGCCTTCGTTAGTGGTCCCCCCCCCCCTTTTCCCCGAAAGAAAGAAAGCAGTTTTCAAGGAGCCTAGGAATATAAAATTATCGCTTTTTCCATACTCCCGAACTGTTGCACAGGTAGTAGAACGTGAAAATCACGCAAACGAGCTGCGAGACGACGAGAAAAGAGGCAACGGTTAAACAGTTCACAATAAGGAAAACATGACTCCCCTGCAACAACAACAGGAGAGGTCCAGCGACCTAAGGATGCAAGAATGGCAAAGAAAGTTACTCTAATCCTGGGCCTGGAAACGTGAACAGCACCTGCTAATGAGAAACATTTTTGACATGCTCTACATTCTACACGTCGGTGTCTATGGCTTTGGCGTTGCGAACGCTTCGTAATGCCGGGGTGCCCAGCTGCAGACGGTTTGTCTTGCTTTGGTTTCGACAGTGGTACCAACAGCTGACCGTCCATGAAGTAATAGCAAAACTACAGAACGTAAAATTTGCCTAGAAAAACCACAACAGCCACAAAATGCTTGGGTTGGTTTTGCAACGTCCCGTAAAGGATACGCAACTAACATTTTAAACTAACATTCTACATGACAACAACTGTTTTAAAAACATACCTCGATGCGTATCCTTTACTGCCTAAAAAACACTTACAAGCACAGCAGGAGTCGAAACTGGTAATGGCGTTATTAATGTGTTTATTTTTCCTCTCCCTGGAAACTAAGGGACACCCCGTTTTATTTGGTTTATAGATAATCTGTTCTTGAATTTAAAGAAAACGAAAATAATGACCACAGATAAAACTGGCTGTCACCCAAAAATAACAATAAATGATGAAGAAATTGAAAATGTCACAAACTTTGAATATCTAGGCTCTATAATAAACAATCAAAGCAATGTTTCCCCGATGTGAATTTGAACAAAGAAGACACAAACAATAGACTGCACAATTTATTGCCTGGCATATTTAGCTGTATCTCGTCAGGTGCATACTACAGTAACAAGTGAATAAATGAAACAAATAGCTGAATATAATATAATATAATATAATATAATATAATATAATATAATATAATATAATATAATATAATATAATATATTATAATATAATATAATATAATATAATATAATATAATATAATATAATATAATATAATATAATATAATATAATATAATATAATATAATATAATATAATATAATGTAATGTAATATAATAAAATATAATATAATATAAAATAATATAATATAATATAATATAATATAATATAATATAATATAATATAATATAATATAATATAATATAATATAATATAATATAATATAATATAATATAATATAATATAATAAACAACAATGGAGACAGAAATTAAAAGGAGGATGGCCATAGCAATGCAAAGATTGAACAGCCTTAAAAGTCTATGGTTAAGCACCAGCAAGGAGATAAAAATTAGAATTTTGAGAGCATGCATCTTCCCTGTGGCTACATACAGATGTCAGTTGTGGACTATCTCTCAGTCCTTAAGAAAGAGAATAGGGGCTTTTGAGCGGAAATGCTATAGAAAGATTCTCAGAATATCTTGGACAACGAAGATGAGAAATATTGACATCTTAAAAGATCTGAACATCAAGGAAGATTGGCTAATAAACAGCATCCTTTCGCGAAAGCTGAAATATTTTGGTCATATCAAGCGCCACGACGGATTGGAAAAAATTATAGCAGAAGGCATGGTACCAGGAAAGGGAAGCAGAGGCCGACACGAATATGGGCACAGGATATAAGTGACTCCTTGAGTGTGAAAGTTCATGAGGCGGGAGAACTGGCAAGAGACCGAGTTTCTTACAGGCAAACTGTGATGAGAGCGACGTTCTGCAAAGGACCTGCTACATGATGATGATGATCATGTAAGGTGTAAAGAGTATCTTGCTAAGCAGTTACGACCAAGAGCTCTCATTCGAATCCTCAGTACATTAATTTAAAAAGAAAAATTGTGTCTAGGATACAAATGAATTCATAATCCGAACAGATAGTGGCAAACGCACTACCCGTGCTCCGTTAATCCTAAAGCTAAAAATGACCGCTTTTCTAACTTTTGCCTACACCGCCCTAAACTGTTATATAATAAGTGTGTAAATATTTTGAATATATTTTGTTTTTCAGTCATATTCAATCAGACTGCAATGAATTCCCAGTATAATGTGGTACTGCCTGTCTAGGAATATAAAATTAGTCGTCGGCGCTAGATGCAAACTGCTTTGTAACGGACAATACTGACATTTTTATACAGTTTAATATTTTTTTAAATATATATGTATATATTGGATGTATGTGTACATACACACCCACACACATACACATACAGCAATGCTCGGTCAAGTGCGGTTACCACTATTAAAGCCGACTGCATTGAATCTCAATCATTTCCTGTCTCTTGTACTTCTAATAAACAACAATAGAGACTGTTCACAGAAATTTAAAGAAGGATGGCCATAGCAATGCAAAGATTGATCAGCCTTAAAAGTCTATGGTTAAGCACCAGCAAGGTTATCAAAATTAGAATTTTTAGAGCATGCATCGTCTCTGTAGCAACATACGGATGTGAGTCGTGGACTATCTCCCAGTCCTTAAGAAAGGAGAATAGGGGCTTTTGAGCTGAAATGCTTAAGAAAGATTCTCAGAATATCTTGGACAAAGAAGAGGAGAATTCTGACATCTTGAAAGATCTGAACATCAAGGAAGATTGACTAATAAACAGCATCCTGTTTCGAAAGCTGAAATATTTTGGTCATATCAAGCGCCACGACGGATTGGAAAAAATTATAGCAGAAGGCATGGTATCAGGAAGGAGGGGTAGGGGCCAACCGATTCGAAGATGAGCACAGGATTTAAATTATTCCTTGAGTATAAAAGTACATGAGGCGGGAGAACTGGCGAGAGACCGAGTTTCTTTCAGGCAGACTGTGATGAGAGCGACATTCTGCAAAGGACCAACTACATGATAATGATGATGATGTATTTAAAAAAAAAATTGTCAGTCTCGGTAAAGTTAATACACACCCATAAGGCAGCTGTAAGAAGTGCCAGCATTAATAAAAAATGTGAACAATGATAATATGGAAGTGGAGGGGGGAGGGGAGGGGGGGGGGGGCTCCTCACAAACATGGAGCATTAAATATAAACCAGTGGGCCAAAGGCGATGGTTTAAAGAGCCAACATTGACAACTTAGGACACTTAAAGGTGAGAAGTTCTGACAGGGGTACAGACAGAGCACTGCTCTTCCGATCCAGCAGTTTCTGCCACATGCCACAAACGTAGTGATATTACCTTTTCTCTTAAGTAAATAAGGCGTTTTATCTCTATACTCCTGGAATGTCTCCTATCGTCCGGGTAGAACAATATATCTACAATAGGCTCTACTGGGGTGGGGGCGGGGGGAGGGGTATTATATGACATTTTCCGCACCGGGCACCACCTGACCTTGCTACGCCACTTCAACCATGTACATACACAGTGCCCTGTCTACATACATTCACAACTTCTCTCAGTATCTAGTATTACTTTCATTGTCCTTACTTGTACATGTTGGCTCTTTAAACCACCGTTCCTGACCTACTCGTTTATATTTAATGCTCCCTATCTGTTTTTAGCACACACCCCCCTCCCCCTTTCCTCTTTCCATATTTTTATCATTGTTCGCATACTCTATTATGATATTCTTACAGCCAACCTCCCACATACATGTACGTGTGTAAACTGGCGCCAGCCCCAGCGAACTGGCCTTATTTCGATACTGCAAACCGATTATGCTGAAGTACATTATTAATCTGCTCGCCTGCGGATCCGAACGACGTGGGCTCAAATCCCCGTGCAGCTGGATTTGTTTTCAACATGTCCTTGGATCCCATGTCGACTCAGTCTAAAACAGGTAACAGCTGAAGTCCTCCAAAGTTAAGGCGGCCAGTGCAATATTGACTGATCACCCATCGGGGTGTCTTTTGGTCCATAAAAAAATGAGTCTAGCCTCAAATTTCTGGCGCGAAATTGGCATCAGTCCTTGCCAAGCAGCAAACATTATGGAGATCCAAAAACATATCATGCAAAACTAAGGTTCGATTGCTCAGAGCACTAGCTATTAGTACATTTACACATGGCTGTGAAACGTGGACCTCAACAGCTGAACTTGAAAAAAAGATACAAGCATTAGAAATGCGATGTTTCAGAAAAATCCTGTGCATATCATACGGAGACCACATTTCAAACGAAGAAATTATACAGCACACTGGCAACTATGAACCTCTTTTAACTACAGTGAAAAGGCGAAAAATGCAATTGTATGGACATGTAATAAGATCTAACGGCCTCTCAAAAACAATACTGCAGGCCTCAGTAGAGGGAAAGAGGAGAAGAGGCAGACCAAGAAAGACCTGGTTACAGAACCTGACTGACTGGGCAGGCCCACTAGGACATCACACAAGCGATAAACACCCGATGACGAGAATCACCGTGGAGAGGTCCTAGAAACCGCGTTCAGACAATTGGCCATA